CTGCCAGAGCACCGGCCTCTGTCTCTGACAGGGACTAGTGTCCTCACAACCACCAATACAGTTAAATGCTGCAGATGCATGTTTGCTTGCCGAGGTAACACCAAACACACCTTTCTTTGGCGGTGTGGTACTGTAGTAGACTCTTCGCTCGTAGTNATCACCACTAATCGGTGCAGACGTGGACCGGCAACTATGTCTGGGGGCGCGTCCAACACTTGCGTTCTGTGTTTCTACACGACGCACTGTCCCCTCCTCCCCCGTTGACAAGAACACGTTTGGGTAACGGGCGTTTACGTTGGATTAGTTATTCGGTTGCGAATCTGTCTGTTGGGGTGGGGCCACTTCCGCAAACGCTCTTCGTCGCGATTATCGTGATAAGCAGTTTGCAGGTACGTGCGTGCGTGTGGCTGACGATAAGGCTGACGATAACCGTCCTTCACAACAGCTTCCTCTNGTCTGGGGGCGCGTCCAACACTTGCGTTCTTTGTTTCTACACGACGCACTGTCCCCTTCTCCCCCGTTGACAAGAACACGTTTGGGTAACGGGCGTTTACGTTGGATTAGTTATTCGGTTGCGAATCTGTCTGTTGGGGTGGGGCCACTTCCGCAAACGCTCTTCGTCGCGATTATCTTGAGAAGCAGTTTGCAGGTGCGTGCGTGCGCGTGGCTGACGATAAGGGTGACGATAACCGTCCTTCACAACAGCTTCCTCTTGGGGCTCGACGGTTCTACCCATTTTTCAAGCCAAGTCGAAGTCATGTGCGTGCGTGGTTGTCGAATTTCGCTGTTNGCAAGTTACCCAACCCTAAGACGAGTCAAACCACTTGAGCTACGAGTCGAACCACTTGAGCTACGACAGGTCGATGGAGCCTTGGGATTGACTCAGCATAGAGCATGACCCGGCCCCCGCCCCCGCTGCGTGGTCGTTGCCGGAAGCGTCTTGCGAGCCGTTGCGCTGAACCGCGAGCCCCCCCCACAACCTCCCGGTAGGTCGCTCGCCCGCGGAACCTCCGACGTTGAGGTCTCCCACGTGGCTGCGAACACTGCCCATCCCATGTACCGGGACGGGCCGAGAGTTGCCGCCCCCGCCACGACCACCCCCTCCCCCGGCGGCAGGCCCGCCGCCACGACCACCTCCATCTTGGGCTACGTTGCCGCGTCCGCGCTGGCAGTTGTCNAGCATAGCGCATGATCCGGCCCCTGCCCCCGCTGCATGGTCGCGGCCGGAAGCGTCTTGCGAGCCGTAGCGTTGAACCGCGAGCCCCCCCCACAACCTCCCGGTAGGTCGCTCGCCCGCGGAACCTCCGACGTTGAGGTCTCCCACGTGGCTGCGAACACTGCCCATCCCATGTACCGGGACGGGCCGAGAGTTGCCGCCCCCGCCACGACCACCCCCTCCCCCGGCGGCAGGCCCGCCGCCACGACCACCTCCATCTTGGGCTACGTTGCCGCGTCCGCGCTGGCAGTTGTCGTTGCGACCAGGGAATCGGGAACGCTGCCGGGGGCCACGGTTCTTCTTCGGAGCACCAGCTTGCCGGGTCACCTGCCGCGGGGGCAGGAGGTCGCCCTTGGAAAGCTCTGACCAGATCGGAAGTACGACGGGATAGTCGGGGTGGGTGTGGAGCACCCTGTAGGAAGCCAGGGTGTACCCGCTGTCAATAAGCGCCCTCGTGCAGTCAAGCCTGTTGATTGCTGTCACGGCATCCGGAAGAGGCGGATTGGGCCAAGAGTCGTCAACGAACGGTCAATTAATTGTACTCAAGCGTCGGATTATTTGTGTTCTTTCGTTTGTCACCCTCCCTCATCCCGCTATTGCCCGCGCCAAGTCCTCCCCGGTGCGAACGGAAGACCGAAACGATCCCACTGCGGAGGAAAGTAGCACGAAAGCACGCAATGAACCAAGAAGGAAGAGACGACCTGGAAGAGAACTCTGCCCTTCCAAGGAATAGAGAGCTAGCTCAAAAGAGAAGCAGTGAGAATACTTGCGAGGAGTAGTGGACACAAAGACAATGATAGAAGGGCCATGAAAGAAGCAAAACGCGGACGGAGTCAAAACGGACTGCATTCAAAGCAGGAACAATGGTAGCTTGGGTTTCTCGTCATAAGCTACCAGGTCACCGTGTCATGGATGCCCAAAATAGCCTTGCCTTTCCTACGACGCCTCCACGTGGGTTCCTTTCACGGAACACGGCCGTTAGAAGGGTACTTGTGAGTTCCCTTCACAGGACATTGCCGTTAGAAGGGTACTTGTGCTGCCGGACACGGATTTGTGACCGGTGCTACGGATATGGGCAAATACACCAACCGACCGAGGAGCCCGATCACCACAAAATGTGTTCGCCAAGTTGTGTGAAAACCAGGGCTGTTTTCATCCATCTTCGTTTTTTGTCTTATCCTGGAGCTCACCTTAGTTAACATCCGACGTAGCGACGTGTTTTCGGCAAGGCATGAATCCCGTGCTTCTAGCAAAGCATCCTTGAACAATACCAACGAGGGGATGTTTCTCCAAGAGCTCACACTCCTCCCAAGCAGTGGTGACACGCTCATCAACCTCTGCCTACCTTCATGGAAATCCATCGAGAGGGGGTGGATGCTGAATAGCTTGGTGACATAAATGGCATGCACAGGCAGACGGAATCCCACTTCATTCTACGAGAACCTCGTTCACAGCCAACGGTGAGCTTGTGCCATAGGCAAAAGAAAGAAGGGCCAAGAAAGAACAACTTCGAGCGACAGATGACCAGAGGAAAACCCAGAGACGAGATACGAGGATCTGCAATGTACATTGTATGAGGTCGCAGATTGCACGTGAGCTGCGAGAATAAACATACAGAATGCACACGGATCACAGACGGCCAACAGAGGACACCAAGCCGAAGATTGAATAACCCAATAATTAGTCGCGATCCATGTTTTCAACCCGATGGAGGAGCCTTACATTTCAACACCGCGAGGGCGTCCTGGCACAGGAGGTGGAATCTGGTAGGGACTCTGCAGGTGCACTCGACGCGGCCACCGTTCCCTTCCGTTTCCGGCAGCACGATTGTCACTCTGTACCCGTGTGTGCATGTTTCCAAACGGAACAGAGTTGTGCTGGGGTATTGCCCGGCGGCCATTGTTGATTTAGACCGGAAGAGTTGATAGTTGGTGTTGTTTCGCAGGGCGAAAACTGATTCCTGCCCCGTTGCCATGGTTGTTATTGGGCGGGAAGAGTCGCCGTTTGGTATCCCATGGTTGGAGGGGAAAAGGAGTTGGGAAGATTCCTGCGGAGAGAATAATTGATGAAAGGGTCTGATTTCCCGACAGGTCAGGGTACATTTCCGAAAACAGGGTACAGTTTTTGACAAAAGTGGTCACGGCAGGGTATACCCTGGTCGAAAAGCGACATACGGGGTGAAATTGGGCGGTGACCAATCAAATGAGCGCATTTTCCGCTGTTAATGACTGTGTACCCAGGTGTTACGCTTTTCGACCACGGTATTCCCTGTTGTGTCGTTTTCCCGCCGTTTTAATCATAGCGGTTTATTCCAAATTTTCAAATTCCAAAAATTCAAA